TCTGGTAACCCAAAAGGCAATATACCAGGAAGATTTAGTCGAGCCTTGTCACCTCGCATCTTAGCCGTTTCAGCAAGTCCCAACTCTGCGTTTTTAAAGGCTTTGAAGGAAACGCTCTGAACTTAGAGAGTTAGATCGTCTTTCTATTTTGTCCTCAAAACAAATTCTTGCCATTTGAATAGCACAGGACAGCTATTTGACATTGGTTCGAATAAAATCTGGTAATACCAGGGGCAAAGATGCGGGTTAAAAAGATGACTCCTTGGCGCTATGTAGACTCTATAAATGTTACAAGAGAAAAACACAATTGATTTCTTCTCCATAAAAATATTAATTATTAATTATAAAAATATACTATTATTATTTAATTAAAAATTATTAGATTATAAATTCCAAAAGATTAAAAACAATTAAAAAATCGCCACAATAATCATTAAACAAAAACAATAATTATATATCGCGAACTTGAGACGGGAAATAACAAAGTGTGAATTCAACTTGTTCATATTATGATTATATACCTATTGAATTTATTTCTGAATCCGTCTTAATAATAAAACAATTGAAATTTGACGTTTAAATTGATAATTGTTTTTTGATACAATCAAAATTGAAAAAGTCGAAAACACTGATTTAATAAAAATGATTATTTAAAAATAACAAAATTATTAATAATTTTGTAATTTATGCAATTATTCAAATTTATTGTATAAAATAAGTTAATCAAATTGTGTATATTTTAATACAATAGTTTCATATTGATATTAATTTATGTTTAAAAACTTATTTACAGTTCTGAAAATGGCAATTATTTTCTGAGGATGACAGAAATAGAAAGTTTACACTCTTACATCTATATGAAATGTATATTGAGTAAGTTATTATTTTTGAACATGGGAACACGTCATTTCACTTTTTAGATGTTTAAATCTGTGTTGATAATGTCTGTTTGTTACACGACTTACCATCCTCTGAAATATAAATAGCATTGCCACAATTGATTTAAAATTCTATAAATAAAATTATATTTTCAAAGAATTGATAAAAGCGAGTTTTGTTAATTGATTATGTCAAAAATCGTTAAAACACAACAAATACGCCAAATAATATATAAAATTGTTTATTAAATTAAAGATACATTTATTGAAATCAATATTGTATTGAAGTTTTTTGTGTATATATGTTGAAAAAATACAAAAATAATTTTAAAAATTTGTTTATTTATTAACAGGTTTTATTTTTTGTGTGTTTTTTCTTTAAATTTATTTCACCATAATACCGTTTTTGCTTCAATATATTTTTTGAATAAATAAAACTTAGCCTTACTATTTTTTATTAATATCAAACCATTTCTTTGAATGTATTATTATGATAATATTTTCATTTGATTTTATAAATTAATTATGATATTAATGTAATTATACCATTTTATTAATAGTAAAAAAGGACTTTGTAAATACACCAAGGTTTTACTGTTTTTAAACAACAACGAAAACGATGTTGTCCCGAAGATGATAGTTGAGGTAACAGTTCTTTACTTTCGACGCGTTGTATAAGAAACCATATTCACAATTATTTTTTTGTCAAATTGAATATGTTTAAAAATATATTATATTTGAAAGAACATAGACAATGGTGTTTGTTTCAATAGTCTAATTGATCTTGTTTTTCCGCTATTTTTTATCACTAATTAATAATTAGTTTATTTTTTGAAAAAAAATATAATTGTTTTTAAGAATTATATAGTTTGTTTTATTTTTTAAATTTTTGTTCACATCTCAAAAATAATCAAATTAAATTTTAGATGGTTTTTTAGAAAAAAATGAAACAATCACGCCAATAAGTTGGATAAAAACAACGGAACTTATTACGGAGAATGAAAAAACGCAAAACAGACAAGTAG